TGGCTATGCACGCGAAACGCCCAGGCAGACTTAGCATTAGTGATGACGCATTTTTAATTATGAGCTAACCTCTTTTTTTCTTCTAATAATAAGATTCAAGGTTATACGTATATGACGAAAGACAAAAAAGACCTCTGGAGAGAGGCAAAACACCAAATTCTTCTGATGAATGACGAAACCTAAAATTGAAAAAGACAAAGCCAAATAAAATAAAAATAAAAAAAAAGCGAATACTGTATGACCTGGCAAAAGTCAAAATTTTTTGGTTGACAAACAGATAATAATGTATATTTTAAACTTCGTGAATATTATTAATAAAGATAAACTAGGACTTTTTTTATTTAAAATAAATTTTAAAATTCACGGCTTTAAATAACATGATGGAGTTAAATATTGCAGAAATTTTTGATAACTATAAAAATTTATTGTGGTTGCTTATATAATTTAATTTAGATTTAATTTCTACTGTATTGATATAATCAGAAAATTTATTCGTACCATATAGTTTGCTAGTATATACGTCTTGAGAATGTATTTGTTTAATAGGTTCTGATAATATTATTAGCTTCCATAAATTGTTTTTTTTTGATTTCTTTATTATCATCTTGATCGATTTCATCCAACCAACGAGTAATTATTTCAATAATTTCTGTTGCAATACATCTTCACTTCGCCGGCAGAATTAGTATTCACAATAAAAAGCTCCATAATTTGGTATATCTGCTTAGTTTAAAATCATAATAAAATATACATAAAACGGGTTAATATACAGCATTGATCTTGTGTTTTGCGTTTTGAGAACAACTGTATATCAAATATAGTTTAATTAAAATTTAATTTAATATTAAAATCTTTCTGTATTTTTTTAACTTTAATATTAGCAAAAAATATAAGAAATTAAAACTTAAAACAAAATTATAAACAGTAATTTTATTCTGGCAAACTTATACTTTTAAGATATGAGAGAGAAGATAACAATGGGAAGGTTAACAAAGGTATATTTTAAGCTGCAACAAATAGATTATTATTCATAGGCAATTATTTAGCATATATAGCTATTAAGCTTTTTATTAATCTGGAAATTTCATATTCATCCACTGAAGAATTTGAAAATGCATTACTATCAAACGTTCATATGATCCAAAATTTATTATTAAATTGATTAAAATTATTCGACATAAGTAAATCTGAGCAACCAAAAATTGAGCAAAAGTTATTTTGACAAAAAATGCAAATAATGGTCGTTTTGTACGACTTAAAATAGAATTTGAATGGTACCATTTTTCAATGAAAAAAAATAAAACTATCATTGCATTTCTTAATCTTATAGGAACCTACTTTTGGTTTATCCCAACTGACAGCATTATTACCACCAAGAATTTCATCAGTGCCTTTAACTTTCATAACTACGACAAGATGTATTTGCTTAATACATAATTTCCAAAATGAATCTGAAGAAAAACCATTTCTAGTTCCGCGAAGAAGTAGTCTAAAATCGTAAGGATTATCTGTTGCTGAATATATGGGTCTTTGCCTTGAAAATCACCTTCCGACATTTCCGATCGGGCTAATTCGGACAAAAACAAAGCCGAATATTAGTTCATGTTTATATGTAAGCCCCATTTGTCTTTATGGTTCAATAGTTTATATAATAAAGTTTCGAACCAATGAAGCAAAAAGAAATTCAAATATAAATGTGAACTAATATACGGATTTGTTTTGTCCGAATTAACCCGATCAGAAATGTCGGAGGGTGATTTTCAAGGCAAAGACTCCATATATTTTCTTTTCTGTCAGTCCATGAGGCGATTTCCACTGCATGTGATTCATTGATAACTGTTGAAAATGTTCTGTATTTCTAGTTAGTAGTTTTGGTGTTAATATTACACGAGGTAGATGGATTTTTGAAAATATTGATTGATTTGGAGTTATAAATTTTTTCATTATATCATTCCAACGTTTTTTTTTAAGAATTTAATGATATGATCGTACGTTATCAAGAATATTATCACCTGACATTTGAAAGTAACGGATATGAGGCAACCAATTTTGTAAAGTAGTGTTTAAAGTTAGAAAATTTTCGGTTGACCAATCTTTAGGATTTGTCGGTAAGCCAGGATTTTGAGCAATTCCTCATTCGATAACAGATTCCAAATTTTTATTTCATCCATTTGTAAATCATCTCTACTAATAAGTGAAACTATTACATTTTCTTGAAATGAGAAGTAGTATTCTAATACAAAAACTTTATCAAGATACTTTACCGCAATATCATTGCACCATTTTTGTAATTCTTGGAAGTTTATGATTTTGGAGACTTTTTTTAACGAATATGAGTAAAATTTAAACGAAGCCAATGAGTTTCCGCTTCAATTAAATGAGTTTCAAAATGTTTAGCTAATTCTTCAAAAAGAAATTCATCAATAAGCATAACTTTATGGTTTTCAAGTAAGACAACTCCTCGGTAAATGTATCTTTATATAAAATAAGTTATTGCAAATCTTTTCATTGTGCTTTACGACTATGAGAAGAGTCTGAAATCCGAATTCACATTTAAAATCATTTAAATACACAATGTTCCATTTTAGCATTTTGCATCACAACTCAATAAAAATTACATCTTCGTAGTGTAGTTTAATTTAATTGTACAAAATTTTATCGATTTCGGACCAGCAATTGAGTTTATAAGTCAGAAGTCGCATAAAGGGTAAGGAATAAAATTTTTTTAAAAAAAAATTTAATGGCTTTATTTTTTTTAAAAAAAATATTGTAAATTCTTTTTTATTATAAATTCTATCAGATAAGAAAAATAACTGTTACGATAGAGTAGTTTTACTCAACAAACGAAAGCTAATTATCACGCAAGTTATTTCTTTTTTTTTTCGAACTTTACTTGTAGCTTACAATTAGATTTGGCAGTAATAATGACAGTCAAATTTTTACGCTGATTTTTACCCTATAGTGTAATTTTTTTAGATCTCTTTTTTATGTAAAAAATTATTATAAAACGTGCCTATGTGTTTTGCATCCATTATATATTTATTTTCTAAGTTTGTATACAAATTGTTTAACGTAAATTTTAATATAACCTGTTGATAAATCATTAATGAAGATCTGAAAACAATGTATGTACCTCTTATTAATTCATTATCCGTATACTTCTTAAGTTTCTTATTAAAATTGATTTAATTGTATATTTTAAATTTAAGTCTTAAATAAGGGAACCAATGGCGCCCTTACACTAGTTTATTATATAATCTGTTTCTTCATCTTTTATTAGTTTTGTACCCTTTGCAGTTTCGTCAGTTTCGTCAGTTTCGTCATTTCGTCATTCGAGATTTAGTTTATGAAAAACGAAACTAGGTTTTGCATTTCGTCAGTGCAAAACCTCAAGGTTTCGTCTAACAACTATAATCAAGAGGCAGTTGTACTAAACCATTTTTTGAGGCATACTTATTTTGGCGAGACTTAAGCAAAAAAAAAATCGAATCTCGAAGAATAAACAAAGCGAAATGGAATATCTATGGCTCCAAATGCCACACAAACACTGCATTTCTGAACAGAAATGGCAGATTATAGGGATGAACTATGGTGGATTGATTTTTATCATTTTTACAGGAACATTTTGACTGACCTGTATAATAAAATTCATGATTGCATATCATTAGATATTATCAAAATAAGTTTGAAATTCTTGTGGAGTCTTAAGAGATTTCCATTGTATAACAGATTTAAATACTTCTCCAATTAATGTTTTCAAATATTTTTTGAGATCCAATCAGTAAACAATAAGCCAGTCCCACATGAGCATCTTTCATAAGCTTGATCAACAGTCGGGAGAACATGTGAGGCCTCCATGAGACAGATTTCCACTTCACCAGCAATCAGTGGAGACTTCACATGAAAATTGGGGTTGTGTCCAATTCTGATTTCTCCAGAATTATCCATCCAATGTTGGGATGCCTCAGAGACCTTTTTGGCCCTGTTATGATGTATGTAAAACTTGTTATAGTCATTATGTGACCATCTCTGGTAAAAATTATATTTTTACACATTATCTAAAACTTTACCAAATAATTTTAAGTTTGATAAATATAACATCTCTATCAGAAGGACCAGTTTCTGGTGGTTTATTAGCCAATCCATAGTAAAAGCAGGAAGTCTCTTCCTTATCATAAAAATGTACATGCCCATAGCTATATAAAAAATAAAAAATTAGCCATTAAAATTTTCAATAAATTTATGTATTCTTATACTAACTTACGCAAATACAGCATCCTGATATTTTCATAGCAAAACAGTGGATCAAGAAAGTTGGTCACTATGCGGACCATATATGTCTCCTCTGTGTTTTCAGCCTTGTTTTCATCGTTAAAGTAGCACCAGATATGTCAGCTATAAGAATAAGAGTATTAGAAATTAGTTAATTACCAAGACAAAGAAGCTTAATTACCTACACTGAGTATGCATCACGCATATGTCTTCAAACTCCTCATCATTTTCCTGGAAATTTACTGGTATAGGTGGGAGTGAAACCATCATTTCTCTTTTATTCAAGCTCTTTAATTTTTCTAAAGGACTTTAATCAATTCGGAAATAATGGGGCTTATTTCGTATTGATCATATGCCAAATTTATGATTTCTCTCAAATTCTTCTTTTGCTCTTCTGCCAACTTTCCAAAAATTATATCAGAATTTCGATCAACAATACAACCAAAGCTGAGTGAATTGTTCCATTCAATATTGCTGGCATCAAAGAATTCAAAGAGGTTCCTCAACTCTCATAATAGCAACGAACTGGACGTCTCATCTTGAATTAAATCATCCTACAGAAGTATCGAGTAAGAACAAGCAAAAAAAAAACCATAACCACCCACAATATGAGTGCAAACTAATTGTAGTAATTACTACTATAGCCACCCACACTCAATGGTTTAAATCGGACCCACTTGCTTTACTTACAACTCCACAGCCACTTATACCCACTATCAAGCAAATCTACATGAGTCTATTATGTAGCAAATATATCATTTAAGGAATTGCTACAGACACAGTAATATGTGACTTATTGCCTTATTGACACAGCAATGATCGACATGAGCACTGCGCCCCAAATTTTCTTTTGGAAAATATTTAAAATTTTTATAACTTTGAGTGAAATAACTTGGCAACCACCCATCAAAATTTCACAAACCTTTTTTTAATATGAATCTGCAGAACTTGTGGAATAAAAAGAAAAAAAAAATCCTCAAATTTGATTGATGGTTAGGTGTTTTGGATTATAGTCTATCTACTATATATAATCTAATTATATAGTCTATTGGTGATTGTGGGATACTGTAGTACGTATTAAGATGGCTGATGAAATGTTGAGCCCTTTCATACTTAAATTTACAGTCTAATACTAATATCCCACTTTATTAGGTCTTGACATCATTTTTAATATGTCCTGGCTTAAAGGTTTATATCTATTTTTCAGATTCTAACTTTTTGATAGTTTTTTGTATTGAATGTTTTACTAGGCTGATGAATTGATAATCAATGATCGTCAAAGACTAAAACTAAAGATTATAAACAAAAGTGTGATTAATTCTAATTCTATTTTATATTAACATTAATGAACTTATTATATGACTTGCACTAATTCCCTGCACAAATTCATACAATACTATCAGAATTCATTTGGTTAAAAACATTGAACATTAATCTTATTTCTTCTACAAAACTTTATAGAATCTTATCAGTTTCACTTTATTGGGGGAACTGGGGTGAAAGCCTTCAAGCCATACTCTACGAATTTTCGGAAATGTCTGGCTCCCGCTTCAAATGATCCTGATTTAGGTTCAAAATCTGAAAATTGAACCAAAATCAGGTTCAATTTAGGATACTAAAACGTTAATTTAAAATGTATCTGCTGACTTTAAAATCATTATAACAAAACTAACAGAATTTTTTTTTAGCAAACACATTGAATAAGAACATTAAATAAAATTAAATTTTGTAGCTGACTTTTAAAATATATGGGGTAAAAAAGAAGGTTTATACAAACGCATAAATCAAATAAATATGTATTTTTGATCGCAAGCACATTAGATAAAATTAGCTATTTGGTACGAGGTGAAGAAAATTCGTTAAAATAAATAAGAAGAAACTAAATATTGGCCTATTAAAGTGGAAGTAATAATGAGAGTCGAAATTGTAATAATGTCTCTGGGAATATGTGGGCGATCGATCGGGATCGGGTGCATCAATATGGTGTAATAAGTAATGACAGATGAGATGATTAATTAAAATTCTTAAGGTACATATTATACTAAACCCCGCAAATTTTTTTTTGAACCTCTTATCAAGACTGATAACACGTCTAACCCATCTTCTCCACCCTTATTAGACATATAAATTTATTATAATGACGCATCTTAGCCTAGGAAAAATTTCTTATCTCAGCTAAAATCTATAGTGGTCAAGTTTTTTTAAATTTTGGGGTATTTTATAAATTCGCTGCAATGAGTAAAAATTTTTATTATAATAAGAATACTAGTTATATTGTAAGATATAAATGTTAGCTTAGAAGTGAATTGGGATTTTTCACAAAACCTATGGATCATAAATTTTATATGTGCTGACATTACGCTTGACTGATAAAGCTAGATTTATATTTAAGTTGAAAAAAATAATTGGCTTATTTAAAATTGTCTACTTAAAAAAATAATTAAAATGTTTATTTAATAAATAATGCAAAAAAAAAATCTTTTAAATGTCACAAGAATCGATTTGTATTAAAAAAGTTTTGGACAACTGAAATAAGCAATCTGCAAATTATCGGTACTAATGAACAATCAGCTTTATTGAGCCGTTTTAGAGTTTTATATACATAAAATATATAGAATAGTTCATCAAATGACAATCAATTAATATTATCATATTGACCACATGGCCAAAAATAATGTTTATTTAGAACTGGACAAGAAAAATGAATAGGTTGGTCAAAAACAATGGGTTGTATCTAATTTAGTAAAAAAAAAAAATTTAATTAAAGATATTTTTGTTTTAATAAGGCCAGACCAATTTGATTCTCTGTTTAACATAACCCCCCCCCCCTCTATTTTTTAAAATTTTGTATGTAAAA